TTTTTTTTTTTTTTTTTTATTTTTTCATTTTTTAACTTACAAAATAAAACAACTGTAGCTCTCATGGCTATATATAAGAAAATTTTCTGCATAATAAAATACATATATATATATATATATATATATATATATAAAGAAAATACAAAGAATATATCAAACAAAACATTTGATAAATAGAATCGTAAACTAATAAAAAAAAAAAAAAAAAAAAAAAAAAAAAAATATAAAATTTTCAAAGAAAATATTTAATTAATTAAAATATAATATATATATATATATAACTAACCATTGTTTCAGCATTACTCATAATATTTTTTATACTTAAATCATTTATTGCAATAGCATAAGAATTAGATTTTAATTTATCTAAAGATTCAATAAAATTATTAAATAAAACATTTGCCATATATTCTGGATTTTGCATATTATAAAAATTAATTAAAAATAAGTTTGATTTAGAAGTAATTAAATTACATTCCAGAGCTGTTAAATAAGTATCTTTTGCACATTCATTCGTAAAAATCCATGATCTAATATCAAAATTTATTATATCACTAAATGTTTCTTTAACTCCTTCTTTTAAAGAACTTTTTAAACCAATTATTCCTATTACTTCTAGATCGAATAAAAAAAATAATTTAATTAAATCGTGTAATTTAAAAGACATTTTCTTTCTAACACTTTTTAGAAAAATATACTTTGCTATTTCTTCATTATTAATTTCTTTTTTACAAATTATTATAACTTTTAAATAATTCAATGTATACAGTTTAATAAGTTTTTTTATTTTTTTTAAATTGTTTTTTTTCTTTGATAAACAAGGAATAATGTTATAATCATAACCTCTAACATATAATGTACCTTTATCTAATTCATTTATATTCTTTAAGATACACATTGAAAAATCATTGATTCTTAAAAAATCATGAAAACAAATTAAAAAATATTCTTTGCATTCATTTCTTAAATTATAAAAAGACAAATTATTCTTATAGCAATATATGCTAAATCCTATATTTTTTACAATATTATATAGACATATATCTTCATGCTCAATACAATTAAAATTTTCTTCATCTGATTCATCTACATAATTATATCCATCATTATCATTCTCGTTCTCATATTTATTATAATGATCGCTAAGACTTTCACTTTTATATTCTTTTAGTATCATATCTAAACATTTCTCATTGTGAATTACTATCCTATTACAAGCACACATTCCTAATATAAACTCTTCTATTTTTTTTGATTGATCGCTGTTATCTTGTATATCATCAATAACTTCTTTACAATTATAACTATTTTCATTATCCTCATAAAATTCTATAAGATTTTAGAAAATAAAAATAAAATATTGCAATTTAATATATATTCATACAATAAAAAAAAAAAAAAATAAAAAATAAAATGGTGCTTTTAATTTTTACAATTATTCAAATGTAGAACACTAATAATTCATATTTACTTATAAAACATGTCAAAAATTAAAAATATATAAATTATTACGATTATATCCAACGTTTAATTTGGATTTTAGGAAATTTGTAATTCTAACATTTTTATTGAGAATTTCTTCATTAAAATAATTTTTATATTTTTCTTTAAGTATTATAGATAAATTGTCAACAACAGGATCATATATTGAATTTACTTTTTTTTCAAATAATTTTAAAAATAAAGTAAAATTCCTTGAAGGGAAAAATAAATTTTCAGGATCTTTGAAAATTCTCTCATCTAAGTTTAAAAGTTCTCTAACATCTTTTCTAAATGAAATAATGTAAAAAAAAAAAAAAAAACTTATATAAAAATTTTTGAAGAAATAAATTTTAGGATTGTTAATATATATTGATCTATTAATTCTTAAATATTCTTTTTAAAAAAAGATAGTTTTCTTTAATTTTTTTTATTAATTTTTAATTATCTTAATAATATATATATGTATTTTTGTTTGGATGGATTTTTATTTAAACCTTTCTGCATCCAATATATTAAGAGTGGGTAGTTTAAAATTTTTACGAGAATAAACAAAATCATTTTTTGAATATATAACATTATTAATTATACATGATACAAATGATTCTTTTTTATTTACAAGAATTCCATTTCTTGCTGTTGCTAATATATCTACAGTACCCAATGCATCATTTTTATTTTTATTAAAAACTTTAGGTTTTTCATTTTTTATATCTCCTCTCATTCTTATATCATTTTCTAAAATTAAAGAATATCATTTATTAATTTTTTTTATATAACATTGTTAACAATATAAAATAATAAATATATCATTAGTTAATTTTATATGATTGAATTTTTAATTTTTTTTTTTTTTTTTTTTTTTTTTTATATAAATACCTATTCTTAAACTTTGAATAATGTATATTAAACTTTTCTCTGAGTACATCATAATAGGTAAGACTAATATATATAGTCCAATAAAATCTTCTAGAATAGTGAAAAAACCTTCTTTTTTATTTTGATATGAAAATGTTCTTTCAAAAAATGCAATTTTTATTATAAGACTTAATAGAACAAAAAAAAAATACATAAAAATCAAATAATAAACAACATTGTTCATTTTTATGCAGAATGTTCGATTCTCTTCCACTTTATGAGGTATGTTCAAATTTTTTTTTGTATCAGCCCCTGTGTATACAACTACTGCATCTATATATTCTGCTCCTTTTAAAATAGAAGCTTTAAAGAAAAAAAAAAATAAAAAATAAAAATAACTAATAAATAATGAAAAAATAAATAATGATCAAATAAATATTGAACAAATAAATAATTTATAAATATTATTTAATAAAAATAATTTTTTTTTTTTTTTTTACATTGTAGAGCAAAATTTTCATAACTTAAAAATAAGGATCTTGGATGTTTATCAAGTTTAAAACTTCCTTGAAAGCAGAAAATATTTTTGTTAGGTAATTCACACCTAATAACACCATTTATTTCTGATAGCATTTTTAAGTAATCCCTATCAACTATAGACAAAAAAAAAAGAAAAAAAAAAAAAAATTATAACAATATTTATGTAATGTTATTAATTTGAAAAAAAAAAAAAAAAAAAAAGAAATAGGTATATATATATATATATCTTTACTTTTATATTTATCTACTGGATACTTAATGCTTTTTCTAAATAGTCCATCTATTTTAAATGCATCCACAACTGCATTTAAATTATTTTTTACATAAAGTATAACAACATCAGCTGGAAATTCATCACCTTCAAAAACCCTAATTATATTTCCTACTTTTATATCTTTAGTCATAACCTAAATAATATTTCAAAAATTATTCTTTGCATATTTTTATACTTAATAATTTTTTATTTATTATACCCCTTTTCTTTTTTTTTTTTTATTATTTAAAACATACTTTTTCAAAATAAGACATTTTGGGTACTATTCTAAGATAGGATTGTGAATTTGCATTTTTGATGTCTTTGAATTGTTTTAATTCAAATAAAGATTCTATAATAACTAAAATAATAAAATTTAAACTAAGAGAAATTGCTGTATCTATAAATATATATCTTTTGGTTATTCCTTGACTAATTTCTGAAATTATATAGACAATTAAAAATAACGAATACACAACTATAGCATCAAAAGAAATTAATCTCCTAATGAAGTTATATAACTATATAAAAAAAAAAAAAAAAAAAAAAAAATTAATAATTAGCAATATTTGAAAATATAATATTCATAGTTAAAAATAAAATAAAATGTAAATTTTATATAAAATTTTTTACAGAGAAGGTATATATTCTAAAATAATTTTTACAAAATTTTTGCAAATCATCTTCTAGAATTGGATTTATAATAACTTTTCTGTAAAAATTTTTATTTGTTTCTATGTATTTTCTCTTCCCGTCTAAATGCTGTTTTTTTTTTTTTTTTTTATATTTAAAAAAAAAAAAAAAAGAAAATATATTTTTGTTTAAAAAATGCTTTCATGGAAGATTAGAGAAAAAAAAAAAAAACCCGTAACTAAAATGTGTTTTTTTTTTTTCTTTGTTACCATTAAACTTAATGTTTTGGTTTTCATCACATTGTTACTTTTCATTCTCACTTTTTGTGTTGATATAGAAAAAGTAAATTAATTTATATAAGTGTTTTATTATATTTTTCTCATGTAAGCATACTGAAGCACAAATGAAAAAATATAAGTTACGTGTATATGTTTATACTTTTTTTTTTTCTTATAAAAATATTAAAGAAGCAATAAAAAAAGAGAATGATTTTTTTTTTCTTATAATCATATTCATATTTTCTATTTTACACTTATTACATTTTTGTATTATAATAAATTTTTTTCTTATAAAGACAATATACAATTTCATAGATTGAATTTTTCTTATCTCCTTTAATTTTTTTTTTTTTTTCTTTTATTTATATATTTTCTTTTTTTATTTATTTTATTATTTTATGTTATATATATATATGATCACGTTCATGTGTAAAAAAACTAAAAAAAATAAATCGGTCAGGAAAATGTAACGTTGCATTTTTTTTTTTTTTTTTATAGAATGTAAATAAAATAACTATATGTGATTAATTTAATCATATTTTTTAACATAATAAATATTATTAGTAATACTAGGAAAAATCATTTATAGAAACAATAAATTTTTCTTAATTTTTTAATGTTATTAAATATTTTATTTTTTATAAAAAGCAAAATTTATATATTTATTTTAAATAAAAAATTAAAATTAAAGCAGGAAACACATAACTACATTATAAAAAATGAAATTTAATTAAAAAGATTAATATAGACAACTAATCATATAGACATATGAATAATAATAAAACAAAAATTCTATTTCAATTAGAGAAAACAAAAAAAAATTATCAATTTGTATGAATTTTTTTTTTTATTTGAATTTCTGTTAATATAATATATAAAAACAAAAAAAGTATTATAAAAATTGAAAATAGAAGGTTCACTAAATTAGCTGATAAATTGAATAAGTTTAATAAAAAAATGAACTTTTTAGATACATGGTAAATAACGTTAACTCTATCAAAAAGAAATCCCTTTTTGTTTTATTTATTTATTTATTTTTTTTTTTTTTCATGTACTTAAATGATTTTTATTTAAAATATACAGAACATTTATAAATTATTTAGTATTATAATGGAAAATATGTTAAATTATATTAATATATTTAAAAATACACAAATATTCATAAATATTTTTTGCTATAAGATTATATCTATATCTATATCTATATCTATATCTATATCTATATATATATATATATATATATATATATATATATATATATATATATATATATACATATATATTTATATATATACTACAGTTTATTTAATTCTTTTAGAACACTCATTTTTCCTGAATAAAAACCTGAAAAATACCATGACATAAGATACTTTAATAATTCCTGTAAATCTTTATTTTGATCAATATTATTTTCATTAGATGAATTTACAATATTTAATTTCTTCATTATGAATTTGTCAAAGTAGTCACTTATAAAGTAGTTATCATTTACAAAATTGTTTACTTCTTTTAAACATAAAAACTGGGAAGCTAAATAAATATTTATAGTTTCATCATCTTTTTTTGATTTAAGATATAAATCACTTACTACTTTATTAAATTTTTGAAAATTTTCATTAAATGGTATTGGGGGTGGTTCAACAAGATCCTTAATTATTTTATTTTCCATATTAATATAATTATTATTTGTATTTCCATTTTGATATTTAATTTTTACTATCTCATCATTTGAACTAGAAGCAAAATCTTCATTTTCAAAATCAAATTTTAATTTATTAATATTAATATAATTTCTTTTTCTTTTTTTATTTTTTTTTTCTCTTCCAAATGGTTTGATATGGGAATTGTTTGAACTATTTTTTTCATTTAATGATTCTATAATTGCATGATTTTTATTCCTGTAATTTGAAAAACATTCATTATTTATGTTACTAAATTCAAAATCATCGTAAACTATATTTTTTTCATTCTCTTCTTCATTAAAAACATTTATATGAACGTTATTTTCAATAAAGGTATTTAATTCTTTATTTTTCTCAGTTAAAAATTTTTCATTATGTATATTTTCCCCAAGTGTAGATTCTAAAATATTTTTAATACAAAAGGGTATTATATTTATATCATTTATTTCATTTATATCATTTATATCATTTATTTCATTTATTTCATTTATTTCATTTATTTCATTTATATCATTTATATCATTTATATCATTTATATCATTTATATCATTTATATCATTTATATCATTTATATCATTTATATCATTTATATCATTTATATCATTTATATCATTTATATCATTTATTTCATTTATTTCATTTATTTCATTTATTTCATTTATATCATTTATTTCATTTATTTCATTTATTTCATTTATTTCTTTTATATCATTTATTTCATTTATTTTTTTTTCTTTTAATTCGCTGCTTTCATTATTATTATACATTTTAAATAGCTTGAATGTTTTTTTTTATTGTGTTTTGTTAAAACATTTTGTATCATATACAAAAATAAGTTTATACAATATTTTTTGTAAATATTATATAATTATGATAATTATATTTTATGTTTAATTATTTTACACTTATTTGACAAATGCATTATATAAATTATAAACCTTTTTTTTTTTTTTTTTTAATATAAAATAATTACATTTCATCATAAAAAAAAAAAAAAAAAAAAAAAAAAAAAACATTATAATAAATTTATATTAAAGAAAGAATAATATTTTTTTATAATTAAGAGAATAGTTAAATAAATAATTAAATTATATATACTTTAGTACTTTATGTTTAAATATATGTGTAATAAAATAATGAAATACAATAGTCATAAAAAAAAAAAAAAAAAAAAAAGTCAACCAATTTCCTTAGGTTATTTTTAGAAATAATAATTATTTATTTAAATATATGTATTTAAAAATAAATAAATTTTTTTTTTTTTTTACAAAAGATAAACTCTTATGTTTTTTGTCCTTTATGTTAAAAAAAATTGAAGTGAAAAGGACATTATTATTATTTTTATTTTATTAATACTTCTTTCTTTTCTTTTTTTATTTCTCTAGTTTTATGAATTCAAATGAATATGCAAAGTTTACATATAATTATTTTTTTTAATTTTCTATTTATTATAAGAGCAACATATGAATTAAATAATCCAAAGCATTTAAAAAACCTTTTAACTTTAATTACTCATAAAACATTTTCTCATGAACACATAACAAATATAAAAAATAAATATATGGTTGTATTTAACTGTCCATTTAACAACAAAGTAAAAAGGACTACATTTCCATGTGTCAAAAGAGACTTATTAAAAAATAGTAAGAAATTATTTAATATATGGAGTAATAACTTACCTAAAATTCATACAAACAAAAAATTAGAAAAAGAAAAGGTTTACACTGAAGCAGATCATATAATGATAAAATATGGAATAAATGAAAAACTAAATTATTTTGATTTATCGTCGTTTAACACATATTGTTCTTTTTATAAATTATATATGAATGATAAATTTTTTAATATAAAAAAAAACATATTTAATAATTTGAAAACAATAAAGAAAAGATGTTTTATAAAAACAGATCATTTAAATAGTGATCCTTTAGAAGAAGAAAGTTATATAAATATAAGAGGAGATAAAAAAGAAAAATTACAGAGTGAAAAATATAAAATTCATAATGTTATTGGAAAAATAAATTATTTTTATGTAATTTTTTTAAACAAAATATTAGATCATACTTTTTATTTTGTGTTTAACAATAATGAACATTATATCATTTATAAAAATGAAATTATTTATCCATTTAAAATTCCTAAAAATGATAATTTTTTAAAAAGTACTAATATAAATTATGAAATAAATAATTTTTATCTGATAGAAATTTGTCATTCATTAAATGGAATAACATACAAACAAAATATAAATAAGTTGTTGAAAAAATTATCTAATCTATATTTTAATATAGAATTTGTTCCATATAATTTTCAATTACCTCCTGTATTTTATCATATAACATTTATAATAATTTTCTCACTAATTAATGCTTATTTTTTTTATAAGATTTTTTTGAAATATAAAAATCATATTTGAATCAAAATATATATATGGAACCTTTGAAGAAAATATTTTTTTTTTTTTTTTTTTTTTGTTTATAAAATCTTTAAAACGTAGTTTTTTTGTTTTCATTGAGAATATAACTTTTATTCGTATTCCTTTTTATAAGGATTTATTATAATAAAAAAATCATAAATTTATAATTAAATAAAAATAAAATTTTATTTTGTAATAGATCATAACTACACATTTATTTGAGATGAAATATGAAAAAAAAAAAAAATAAAATAAAAATATATATATATATATATATTTTTTTTTTTTTTTCTATTGAATTATTCTTGAAATATTTTCTTATTTGATTACTTTTTATTAGAGACTTCTATTTATTTTGCTTTTATTTTTACTAATTTTTTTTTTTTTTTTTTTTTTAACTTTTTTTTTTATTTTATATTTTTTCTTTTTCTTTTTCTTTTTTTTTTCTCTTCTTTTTTCTTCCTTTTTTTTTTTCATTTTTTTTTCATTTTTATATTTCTTAAAAAAAAATATAATTAGAAGATACTTTTGATATGCGTTTATTTCCTACTGTTAATGTTTAAAACAAAGATTTAAGATAAATGCATATATAAACATAATTTGAACATTTTTATAATTAAAAATAAAAAAATTAATAAAAAAAACAAAGAAATATATATATTGAAGTTTTATATATTATTATAATTTTTGAGAATCTTATAAGAAAAACATATAAAGATTATTAGAAAAGATGGAACCATTAATATTAGATGAAAAAATAAGAATATATGCATTACTACCAATTTTTATAATTGTAGTTTTAGTTTGTATAATAAAAAGTAATATGGGACAAATGCTTTTCCCTGAAGCTAAAACAGATGTAGAAAAATTAAGACAGAAGTAAAACAAATAGAATTATATATATATATATATATTGAATTATTATTTAAATATGTATATTTAATTTAAATAAAAATTAAAAAATATATATATATATATAAAACTGTAGAAATATTTTATTTTTTTTTAATTTTTATTAAGTAATTTTTTAACAAGATTCAATTTACTAAAATCAAATAGTGGTTTTATCAGTCCAGTAGCTTTTTTAAGTCGTAAAAAATTTTACAACAAACCACAAGTTGGTTTTTTCAATGATTTACCTGAACAAATTAATCCATTTGATGCTATGCTTAAACAAGATCCTTCTGATTTATTTGGAATGATGAAAAATCAAATTCCCTTTTTTATTTTACAGTTAGGTTTAGGTTTTTTAATTAACCTTTTTTTTTCAGGATATTTAGTTGGTATGTATATTAATAAATATATTTATGTATTATATTCATATTAATATAAAGATAAAATAAAATGAACAAATAAATGAAATATTAATATTTTTTTTTTTATTATTTTTTATTTCATTATATATCTAATATTTTATTTTAACATTTAAAATATATATATATATATATATATTTTTTTTTATAGCTAAAATACCATTTCCATTAACTTACAAATTTAAATCGACATTGCAAATGGGAATGGATATAGACCTATTAGATATGAAATTTGTGTCTTCACTCTCATGGTTCATTTTTTTTTTTTTTTTTTTATTTTTATTTATTCTACTTGATTTAATATTTCATTTATTTTAATTATAATCAATTTTTTATTTTTTTTTTGTTTACATTAGGTATTTTCTTGTTATGTTTGGATCAAGTGGATTAATTAGTATTATTGATTATTTTGTTCTTCAAGGTATTTATAAAATAAAAAAAGAAAAAAAAAAAAATTCAAGTATTTATCATTTCATTATTTTTTTTTTTATAAATAAATATAGAAAAAGATAGGTCACAGAATAGTACTTTTGAGAATTTGATGGCTGTTCAAAACCCTTTAGCTAGACGTAAAAAAAAAAAAAAAATTTAGAATTAAATTACTTAGAATTAAAAATAGATATGTTTAGAATAAGTAGAAAAAAAAAAAAAAAAAAAAAAAAATCTTAATATGACTTTATTTATTCTATTATTTTAATGATTAGAACCCCTAAATATGAATAGTGTACCTGATTTAAAAAAGTTTTATGAACAAAAGAAAGAGGAATTAGATAATATGGTATTTTAAAAGAATATATTATGATTATTTTTTTTTACTTTTTTTTTTTTTTTTTTTGTAAGATATATGAAACATTTAGTATATCTTATTTTTATTAATTTTTATTTCCTTTTTAGAAATATGAATTTTTACTTGAAGATATAGAATATAAACTCATAAAAAGTTGGATATAAAAAAGACAATTCTTTCATTTTATTTCTTCATTAAAACAAATTTTCAAGTATTATTTTTTTTTTTTTTTTTAATTAGTTTTTATAATTTGAAAATTTATAAGTAGATATATTTTTATATATTATAAATGAAATTTTTTTCTTTCTATTTTTTTTTTTGTAAAACATTTTTAAAAACATAAAATATATTATTCCTTTAATTATTAAAAGGAAAAAAAAAAATTTTTAATAATTTTCATATATGCATTTTTAATACTTTAAATCTTATTTAAAAGTAAAAATGAAATGTATTTTAAATAAAAGTATTATATTTCTCTAAAAACTTTCAACAAAAAAAAAAATCTAAATAAGAAATGTAAAATCCTTGAAATTAATAAGTTGAGAAAACCTAATGAAATTTTTATATTTCATATAACTTTTAATACATAAAAAAAGAAAAAAATATATATTATATAGGTAAATATATTAAATAAATTAAATAAATTTAATAAAGAAATAAATAAATAAATTAAATAAATAAATTAAATAAATAAAATAAATAAAAAAATAAAATAAATAAAGAAATAAATAAAATAACAAAATAACAAAATAACAAAATAATATAAAATTATAAAACGCATTTAAAAAAAATAATAATTTAAATAATTTTTATTTTGTTATTAAACATTGCATATTTATTATATATTTTTTTTATTATTTTTTTCATTCAATATTGAAATGATTAAAAAAAGAAAATTATATTGTAGATTTACTAAATAAAAATATGATTTTAAAAAATTTTAATAAAATATAATATTACTTCATTCAGTTATTATAATTTGTTTTACTTTTAAAATAAATATATAAAAAAAAATGAAAACAAATGAACAAATGACAAAACAAATGGATGTTAGTCCTTCTAAAGATGATAAATCAAATAAAAAAAAAGTAATTATATAGATGCACATATTTAAAAAAAATAAATTCTAGAATTTTTTTTTCTTATTTATTTTGTTATTTGTTATATAAATATATATGTGTATTTTTTTTTTTTTTTTTTTTTTTTTACACTTTATATAGGTACATCTAAGAAAAGCAGCTGGAATTGTTTGGAAAGATCCAACATTAGATGAATGGCCTGAAAATGATTTTCGAATTTTTTGTGGAAATTTGGGAAATGAAGTATCCAATGACATTTTGGCAAATGCGTTTAGAAAGTATAAATCATTTAATATGGCTAAAGTAAATAGAAACACTTTTTCAATTTTAAATACATATATATATATATATATTAATAACATATTAAATATAAAATATAATATTTTTCTAAATTTAATTTATTATTTACAAAAATATCTTAAAAAAATACATAGGTAATAAGAGACAAAAGAAATAATAAAACAAAAGGATATGGATTTGTATCCTTATCTGATCCTCAAGATATGTTAGATGCTTTAAAAACTATGAATAATAAATTTATTGGAAATAGACCAATTACTGTTAAAAGAAGTAAATGGAAAGATAGAGAAATTGATTCCAAAAAAAATAAAGATTTTGACAATTTTTTGAAAGATGCTCACTTACCAGCAAAAAAATATAGAAAATTCAAAAAGCACGTAAAAAATGATAATAGTAAAGGTTAGAATGCTATAAAAATATATATCTATGAATGTTACTTTATAATATTATTTATTTATATTGATGCTACACATTAATTATTGAATTAATTCATATAAATATACATATATATTTATATATATTTTTTTTTTTTTTTTATAGATGTTCATGATAAACTAATAAATAAAAATGCAGTAAATTGAGTATTAGTTTTTATTATTTTGATTTTTTTTTAAAATTTTCCCAATTATGAGAATTATTTCTTTATTTTTAAGTCTATTTTTACATTTTTTTTAAATAAAAAATAAGTTGAAATATTTCACCTCTTAATTTTGTATTGCTTTTTTAATTTAATTTTTTTTTTTTTTTTCCTTAAAATCTTTTGTTATTGGTTGTTTTTGTTGCAATATTAATTAATTATAATCAATTTGTTTTTAATAATTACATAAAAAAAAAAATGTATTTAAATAATTTTTATATAGAAGAATACCCCTTTTTTATTTAAAATCGAATTATTATTTTTATTTTCATTTATTTCAAGGAACCATAAATATATATTTATAAGAAAGTTATACTTGTGAGAATATAAGCATTTCCTATAAATATTTATTTTTTTCTATTTTACCTTTTTTTTTTTTTTTTTTTTAATTTTGATTTCCATTTTATTTTTTTACATTCTTTTTTTTATCTTGATTTTTTAAATATATTCTTTAATTTTTTATGTACTAAAATCGACACTCCTAAGTAATTGATATTGTTCATTTAGTTTTTATTAACACTCTATACATAAATATTTTACTTTTTTTTTTTTTTTATTATATTAATAACAACATATAAGGTAATAAAATTTAAAAAATAATTCTTACTTTTTATTATTATTTTAAATAAGCTTTTCCTAGTATTACATAATATTCATTTATTTTATTTTTTTTTTTTTTTATGTATTAAATTAAATATTCACAAAAAGAACTTTATTTTGTAATTATTCCTTTAATTCTTTTATTTATGATATATTTTCACAAAATTATGCATACATAAATGCATAAAAAAAAAAAAAAAAAATTATTTTTATTATTTATTTGAATGAAGAATAGAGGAAATAATTACAAATAAATCAAAAAAAAAAAAAAAAAAAAATAAATAAAATTAAAAGTATTATTAAGAAAAAAAAAATAAAATTTTATTACATTAATATATGAGTTGAAGAAAAGCAAATATTATTTTTTCATGAAGTTAAAAGAAATATAAACTTTTTTATAGCATAAAAAAAAAAAAATAAATAACTTTGCAGAATATAAAAAAAAAATTTATATAATTTAATGAAGATGAAATTATAACAATTGAGCATAATTATTTAAAAATTAAAAAATTTTATAATATAATTATATATAAATTTATTTAATTATATGAATAATAAAAATGAACGTAACAAGAATTTTAAGTAATTCGAAAATTTTGAAAAGAAATATAGAATTTAAAGAAGTTTTCACACCAAGATGGTTTTTAGAATCACCAAATTATAGTCGTATGCCATTATGGAGAAGATTTTTTGAAGGACAATATACAAATGGATCATTCTTATTTTTTGGAAATACTTGGACATCTATGTTTGCCTTTGCTTTTGTTCTTTGGTTTTCAAGAATTTTTGATCCTCCTCCTTTAGAAAGAGTTGATAAATATTGGTTAAATTCTCCAAAATTTAGAATTTTATCAGCTTTTTATAATGAAGGGAAAAGACCAGGTGTTAAAATTTCCTTAATGACATATGAAGCCAGATATTTTTATAGAGGTATTGATCATCCATTTACAATAAATGAAATTAAAGATTTGTGGTTTAAACTAAAAGAAAATTATCTTATTGAAAGTATACCTGCTATTCAATATCCTTATGTTTTTAGGCAATATAATAATGTTTCTACACCTTCAGATTTACATGTTCATCTTCATTAACTTTTTTTTTTTTTTTTCATATTTTACTTTTCATTTTATACTGTTTTGTTTTTTTTTTTTTTTTTTTTTTTTTTTTTTTTTAAATTATTAAATGTTATATATGACAAAAATGAAACAGAAACAATCCTTTATTTAAAGTATGAGTTATTGTTAATATATATTTTCTTGAATTTTAATACCTGTTTCATTTATTCTTTTTCATGGAATTCTATTATGAGTATATATTTTTTACTTTTTTTTGTAATATATACTTAAAATGCATATCTTTTAATATTTTATTTAATTTTTATTCAAGATAATTAATAACTATAAATATAAAAAAAAAAAACCTTATCAAAACTATTAATGTAAATAAAAATATTTTATTTTTGTATTTACAAAAGTATTATTTTTTTTTTTAGTTTCCTATATTATGAACAAATTTTTTTGTATTATTTATCATTACTAATATTAAGACAATTTTCTTTTATTAAATAAGACAAAAATAAAAACGATTCTAACAAAAGAATATTTTTATATCAATATTTATGCAACATAAAACCCAAATAAATATACAAAAAAAAAAAAAAATAACAATAGTGGAATATCTTAATAAAAAAACATGAAAAAAAAAATTTAAATATATTGAATAATATATATAAATATATATATATATATATATATATATATATATATATATATATATTTAAAAAGATTAAAAATATTTTAAAAATATACAAAGAATAAATATAAAAAAAAAAAAAAAAAAAAAAAAAAAAAAAAAGTATTAATTTGATTAAATTAATATTAAGATCATATATAACATTTTTTTAATATTTAAAAAAAACATAATACAATAAAAAATTTTATATATATTAATGCATTTATAATAATGACGAAAATGGAAATTCCAGTAATAATAATAAAAATAATTAAGAATAATAGAAAAAATAAAGAAAAAAAAATTTTAAGTAAAAATCACATTTATTTAAAATTCTAATATAAAATCTTAAAAAATTAAGAAATAATTTTATATAAATGAATGAGGAAATTCAAAATTTTTGTGGAGCATTTTGTGTAGTATATAAAATACGATAACTTAACAAAAAAAAAAAAAAAAAAATATATATATATATTTCTTTTTCTTCTATTATCCATGTAAGCTTCCAACACCAGCTGGAGCAACTCTTAGTACAAAAACATTACCTCTTCTCCTATCTAATCTGCTTACACGTTCGTGAGCTCTTATATTAGATATCAAAACTTCTCTTATATCATCTATTATTTCCCTTTTTACTTGATAAAAAGAATGCTTTAAAAAATCTACGTTTGTTTCAACAAACGTGGTATCAATTACATCCATATCTAGCCAAGCATATTTATCAAAAGATATATATACTGTATCGGTTTTCATAAATATTTGATTTGGTATTCTAGAAGCCTTTTTTTTTATTTTCATTGAATAAGGCTTATATGATGTATTTTCATTAAAATAAATACTTGTTTTTTTTTTTTTAAATAACCATTTTCTTTTTACTTGCTTAAATGCGTTAGATAATTTAAATTTTCTTTTTGATTTAAAAGCTTTTAAGCTAGTATCACTAAATTCTACTGTTTTCAAAAAAGTTTCATTCAAATAATTGTGAGAAACTTCTTCCGAAATAAATGAAGCATCTTCATTATAATCGTAAGTGTATGAATTTGCATTTGTTTTATTAATTTGAGGAATCTTAATAGACGTATTTAATTTTTCTTTATTTTCCTTTTCCTCTTTTTCTTTTTCTTTTTCTTTCTCTTTTTCTTTTTCTATCTCTTCATCTTTTTCTTTCTCTTCATCTTTTTCTTTCTCTTCATCTTTTTCTTTCTTTTCCTTTTCCTCTTCTGCTTTCCCTTTTTCTTTTTGATTTTCCTTAATTTTTGTTTCTGTATAGGTAGAATGAGGAAATAAAACGCTATCACACATCTTATATTTTTCTTCATAATTTTCGGTTAATAATTTATTTCTTGCTGTGTTTAAATTTAAATAATCTTCATAATTATGAATTTTGTATAAAGGTAATTTTAATTTAAAAATCCTTTTTCCAAGGCACTTTTCTCTATTCCAAGTCTCTGAATAGGTCAGTGCTTGATCTCTTGTATCACCATACATTACAATGTGATTGCAATGAGTTCTTAATAGAAAAAAATCTTTTTCTAAAAATTTATCTAAGGGGTAATCTGGATTTAACAAAATGATAGTTTTTACTATAATTTGTTTATTTTTTTTATTATTTTTTATACCTTGGTTCAAGGCATTTGAATCGGAATATTTATTGCTATAAGTATTACTACTGTCATCATTTTCATTTTCCAATTTTTTTTTTTTATTATCATCTTTTTTTACTTTTGATTGTTCATTTTTTAAAACATTATAAAATAAATTATCTTCTACACAATAAGAAAATCCATTAAAAAAAAGTCTGGAGCCACAAGAGTGGCTTATCAAATGAACATTTTTAATACCTAAATTGATAAGTTCTTGTATAAATTTTTTAAAAGATCTTCCTAATATGGACATTTCTGATCTTTTTTTAGCGACAGGATAAGAAAGTGCAGAAAACGGTCCCCACATGGCACCTTCCCAATGAAAAACAAAAGGTTGAATATATGAAGGTAGCTTAGAAAAGGAAACTAAATGAGCTAATTGAGAGCATCCATGATGTAATTTAACATTATAACCATGTATATATATAACAATTTCATCAGGCATAAAATTTAAATTTCGTTTTAAAGATAAGGACTGCCAACCATCTATTATAATTTTCTCTTTATGCTGATGCCTATAATTTTCCCATTCATCTTCTTCTGCGAATACTTGAGCTATAGTTTTATTTCTATTTATATTAGGTGACAAATTAGGGCCATTAAAATTATCAAAGGGTTCATTTAAACTTTTCATTTTTTTCCCTATAGAGCTTAATATCCGCTCATTTTTTTTTTTTTTGGAATATTTGGGGCGAAGAATTTTATCAAATTTTTTATGATTTGAGGTTATATATATTGAATTCTTTTTTTTTTGTTTTACATTTTTTTTCACGAGGCCTTTCTGTTTAGAATTTTTCAATTTATTCATATTAATTTTTTTTGTTGTTTTATTAAAGGAATCTCTTCTATTTTTTTTTACATTAGATAAAATTTTATACGAACTTGATATTTTTTTTTTTTGTTTACTATCATTTGGCATACCATCTATTCCACTTGAATTTATGGAAGTTCTTTTTTTGGAATTCCTTTGGATGCTTGAATTAATAAAAGATTTAAAAATATCGGAAAAAAACATATTTTTGTTTTCTAACAATTTTTCATTTTTAGTTGTTTCTTTATGAAACTTACTTTCATTAGGTAATGTGAGCTCCTCATTACTAAAAAAATTTAAATTTATATTCTCATTAGTGTCTCTTTTTTTATTTGAATCTATGACCTCTTCTAAATGTTTTTCTCTGTTCATAAATTTTTCTTTGTTTCCATTTTTTGTCCTACTTTGAGATTGTTCTTTCTTTTTTTTTTTTTCATTGTTCAAAAGTTTTTCTTTATTTCCATATTTTGCCTCATGGATTTTAAAAAAATTCATATTCCTTTTTTCTTTTTTACGTTTACTCAGATCATCAGTTTCAGTTTTTTGTTGAAAGAAAATATGGGTTTCTTCCTCTTTCTCTTCATCTGTTTTTATTTCCTTGTTACTTTTTTTTTTTTCTATATTTCCATGTTTTTTTGTTGCTAATATATCTTGTGTCTGAAACTTTGAACATATTACATTATCAAAAACAAATTCTTTATCATTTGACATGAAAGCATTATATTCATTTTGACTAAAAAAAACACCTTTTTCTCTTCTCTTCTTTAAAAAATTCTTTTGCATTTTATATACATCTTTTTTGTTAAAAGAAATTTTTTTTTCTATTTTCATTTTTTCATCTAAATTTCTGTTTTCATTCATTTTATTAAATCCTTTTATATTAATAACAAACTCTTCTCCATTTGAAGAGGAGTATAAATTTTTTATTTTACTTTCATCTACACAAGATGAAGACATAGAAGAATCATTTTTTAAATAAGTTTCATTTATATTACTATTTTCTATAATTTTATAATGTTCATTTTCATTAGAATTATTATATATAAAATGTTTTTTCTTTTCATTATATTTATTCTTATTATTTTTACATAATTTAATATCAAACATATCTCTATCACAATTATAATTATTATTATTATAAGAATTGTTTAAATTGTTAAAATCATCAAGTCTCTTTTTGCGGAAATTATCACTATTTTTTTTTTTATAATTAACAGTATCACTACTTTTTCTAGTGTCACCAAAATTAATATTCCATTCATTGCTACAATAACTAAGAAAGTTTTGACTTTCTTTTTTTTTTATATCCATGTTCTCATTATTGCTTTCTTCATTGTAATCATAAAAATATGGAGATTTATGTATTTCTGTAGTATTTAATTTTTTGTTCATTTTATATAAATAAACATCATCATCTAAGGAATCTAATAATTTTTCAGAAATTTTTTTAGTGTAATATGAATGAGTACTTTCATGAAGTGAATTATCTAATTCAGGAAAATTAGTAGAACTTAATCTTCGGATATTTTTATGTAATTTATTTTGATTAATGTAAAAAAATTCATCATTTTCTTGATTTTTTAGTTTATGATCATATTTGTTTGTTTTATCTCTTTTATGAATTTTTTTATTTTTTTTCACTTTAGGAACATGAACTAATTTTACATTAATTTCATCAAGAACATTATTTCTTCTTTTAATAGGACTTAATCTTTTGTAATTGTGAACTTTTAAGCTCATAGTAACATGATCTAGAGATATCATACAATTATTGGAAAAATATTCAGTTGTACTACCACTGTTAACCTTTAACATATTAAAACACCATCTTAAATCATAACTTAAAATATCGTCATAATTTTCTTTTAATATATCTTTTACAATGAGATCATATCTATTAGTTGGTAATCTTCCATTTGCTTCCTTTTCTATTTTTGGATTAAAAAAATAAGTAAGAGGAAAATCATTAAAAAAGTGACCACTAATAGAACATTCGGTACATGAAACACCGTATCTAACATCTGACCAATCTTTACCTACACATGCAGCAAATCCAACTCTTGTATTTACAAATAAGGACCCACTTCCTATCTCTTGAGAAATAAATGGACCAACTGGATATCCATGGAACCAAAATCCTCTTAATTTTTCACCGTAAGAATGATCTTCTATCCATTCACCATATCCATGTGGCCTACCATAAATGTCTGTTTTTCCTTTATACCTTAATTGATGACTAAAAGGTGCTTCTTTAATTTTGTCTTTTGTCATTTTAAAACGTAAATTAGAACATTTTTTGTAAAAACAATTTATAATACGATAAAAAGAACGATATACACACAAACAAAAACAACAAAAATTATTTCCACACATTCCTGCAAAATCATTATAACGACTTATGGTTATATTCAATTTATTGGTTGACATTTTTTTTTTTAAGATCCTGCAATGTTCTGTGCATGGACAAAAAAATCCATATATAGCTAAAAGAGGACCAATAAAAATTATAATTTTAATTATTATTATTAATGACAACTGAACAATTCCGTATATTATCAAAATATGCTCACCCCTAGAATTTATTTCTGGTTTATCTTTTTCAAAAAATATTAATATAACAGAAGCACATATAATAAATATATAAGAAGCATATATAGGCCAATGTAAACTAAGACGAGTCTGAAATTTTGCAAAAATTATTATTCCAATTACTACAACAATAGCTTCTACAAAAAATAAAAATGTCGTTTGAAATTCAACACTAATTGTAAATTTATTATTCTCATATGAAGTTTTAAAATATTTCCATGATATTAATAATAAGCAAAATATAGTTATTATAAAAACTATTTTCTTTGAAATAGGTTTCCTTATACCATTAAATCTCCTTCTCAATCTCCTATAATCCATATATCTAATAGTATATATCAGCCAGTCCATGTTCTTTAATTCATTACTTACATCCTCTATTTTACTTTTTGCATTATCAACATTATTATTATAGTAATTGTTAATATCGTCATTATTATTATACTGTTTTCCTTTTCTGCAATAACAAAAACATTCATTTTTTAATCCTAATTTAGTTTTATTCATTTTTTCTATATAAGAACATTCACTTTCAGTATAAAATGATTTATTTATGTTTGAAATATTTTTTGTGTTTTCTGCGATTTTATAATCATCTTTTCCGTTTTCATATTCATCAACACTATTATTTATATAAGTGCCATGATTTGTAGCACTAATTTTTTTTATGATATTCCTATTATATAGGTTATTAGTAGTAATATTTTTCTCGTTCATGTTAGTTTCAGGGAATATTTCAATAATTTTATTATCTACCCTTTTGTAATCTTCATCGTTCTTATTTTTCATTTCTTTTTTTTTATTATTTTTTATTTTTTTTTCTTTTTCACAACTTAAAGTTTTATCTAACATAATATCAATGTTCTCTATAAGTTTCTTTTCTTTTTCCTTGTTTCCATTATCATTTTTCACATTATTATATATGGAGTAATCTGGAAACTCTTTTTCTTTTTTGGCTATTTCCTTTTCCATTTTTATGTTTAAATTTTCTCTTTTTGTAACTAAATTTTTTTTTTTTTTTTTTTTTATATTATTATTTCCTAATTCCATTTCTTTGGGTTCCAGATTTACTGAATTTAATTTATTACTTATAACTTTATTATTATTTTTTGGAATTTCTCTTTCATTATTAAAAATATTTTTAAAAGTATTCATTCTTTCACTGTTCTCATTTTTTTTTTTTCCTTCTTCATTATTATAAATCTTTCTTTTTTTTAAATTTTGAAAATTTTCATTCAAAGAAATATTTGCTTTAGAATTACTAAATCTTAAGTTTATATATTTTTTTTTAATTGTTTTTGTAATATTTTTTTGATTTATTAAATTATTAATTTTTTCTTTTTTTTTATTTTTTTGAGCATCATTCATTCCTTTTCTTTTTATAAATATTTTATTCGGAATTATTTTTTTTCTTTTTGTTTTTCGTATTTATTTTATTTTTTAATTTTTTTCTTTTTGCTTTCATTCCTTAAGTTAAAAATTTTATAAGAAAATAAAATAAAAAAATAAAATAAATTTGTGAATAAATAGAAATATTATTAGAAAAGAAAAAAAAATAATTATTCTGTAAAAGAAAAAATTATTGACATTTTTGAAAAATTGAATGTAAGTTTTAATAATACAAATACGTTCACATACTATCTTATAAAATAGAAGTTTATACCTTTTAAAAAATAAGGGAAAAAATATCCTTAATTCGTGTGAACAAATATTTAAAAAAAAAAAAAAAAAAAAAAAAAAAAAATTTNNNNAAAAAAAAAAAAAAAAAAAAAAAAAAAAAGTTTCCACTTTAATATATTTTATTATTTCAGTACAAAGTTTCCTACAGCTTATAAACCTTTTTTTTTTTCTTTTATAGATTAAGATATATTTTGTTCGTGCAACAAAAATATCATGAAAATTCTACCCTTTTCTGTCTTTTTTTCAAATATAATTTTATATAGAAATTAAAATAAAAAAATTTTCAATATACTTAATATATTTTTTTTTACCTTTTTATTTCTTTCCTTTTATAAATTTGTGTCTTTCTATTTACATATAAATTTATAAGAAATTTTTTCATTTATAAAATTTCCTCATATAATAGTTCACTAAATTAAATTTTTTTAATAAAAAAAAAAAAAGATGAAATAATTTTTAATTTAATAGTACAGAAATTATTGACAAAGAGAAACTTAAACGATTTTGTATCAGATTAATTTGTTTGAAGTTATTGAGTATTTTAAAATTACTTTTGAATATTTATTTTGTTTTGCTTAAATATATTTCATTTCTTTAATTCTGATTAAATTTTTTAAAATTTTTTAATTCTTTTTAAAAATAATATGAAATCTGTTTTATTAAATCCATCCAATTTTTGTCTAAATTACAATTTTTGCAGTCAACAAAAATATAATGAATCCTGTTTCCATAGTCATTAATTAAATCCTTAATTTTATATTTAATTAATAGTTCATTTTTAAATGTATCATCTATGATGTTCACATTATTAAAAGTGTTAAAAACTAAAACAACACAAGATGCTTGTAAACATTCATCGTTCATTAAGAGACTTATTAGCATGTTATTTTCTGTAGTACTTTCATCTGATATATCCATTATATTGATAACGTATAATATTGCATTTACTTTAACATTTCTATAAATTAATTTCCAAATATTTCTCATCTATAAAAAAGAAAAATTCATCTAATAAAAGACAAATAAAAATAAAATTTTTGCTTAATAAAAAAAAAAAAAGTTTAACTATTGGATTTCCTGAAATGTCCCAAAAACCAATTGTTCCATTTATCCATTTGATTTCTTCATAATGATAAGAAATTGTTGGTTCCATATAAGAAGTGATGTTCGTCCATTCTTTTACAAAAAAAAAAAAAAAAAAAAAAAAAAAAAAATTATATTATTTAAACTTTAAAATATTTATATGCTCATTATAAAAATTATCTTTTAATTTTGTAGCTTTATTTGATTATAAAAAAGTTAAAGTTTTTGTATTATTTTTTTATTTTTGGTGGTCACATTATTTACCTGGAATAAAATTATGATATAGTAGTGTTGTTTTTCCTGATCCGTTAAGGCCTAAAATTAAAATATTATATTTTTTTCCTGATTTTTTTTTGTTATTTATCCTGTTTTCTTCAATTGCGGAATTTACTTTTTTATTTACAGTATTTCCCATTTAAAAAAAAAAAAAAAAATGTTTATATTTAATATCAAAAAAAAAAAAAAAATCAAAAATTATTATTTTTATAAAAGAATTTCTGCATTTTTATGCTCTTTAAAATTTTGTACGATTTGTTTTTTTTTTTGTTTGTCAATAAAGACATGGTTATTTAAAAATTTTAACATTTAAAATTATATTTTTTTGTATATCTATTTTTAATTTTAATATATGTTTTAGATCAGTCTTAAAAAAAAATTTTATAATATAAAAAAATATATTTAAAAAATAAATATTTTTTAAACTTAAAAATTTTATGAAAAAAGTTTATCCTTACCTATATATTAAATGTATACAACTAAAACATTTTGTTGTATATTTTATAACTAAAAGTTCTTATGTGCACAATATTTTTTTTTATGAACAGCAAAAAAAAATATATAATACAAATGATATGCAAAAAAAAAAAAAAAAAAAAAAAAAAAAAAAAAATATATGTATATATACATATATAAATCCATGACACAAATAAAATCAATAATGGAAATAATAATGAATTTAAAATAGACAAGGTAGAAGACATTTGAATATATAATTTATATATTCAATTGTTCTGCATGTTATTTATTATTTCTCTTATAAATAATTTTTCATTTAAATTACATATTTCATTTTTTTTTAATTTATTATCTATATTAATGTGGTCAGTTAAACTTTTAATTTGTTCTTTGTAATTAAAATTGGTATTGTTTTCTTGTTCAATTTTGAATAAATCTAAATGAGATATATCAGTTGATATATATGCACCTAAGTCAATAATATATTTCTTTTTCAAAATACGCGTATTATAAATTTTATTTTTATTTTCCTTTCCTATTTTCATATTTTTATAATTTTTTTCTATAAAATATTTGGAATTTCCTTCTGATAATTCAGAAATATTTTTTTTTTTTATCTGACATAATTTCTTTTTGTAGTCGATATTTGTGTTAGTAAAATCCTTTTTATTATTTTTTCTATAAATTGTTTTAGAATTCTCTCCTTGTTTTGTTTCTTCTATTACTAACTCACTTTTCTCATTTCCGTTGTTTTTCTTTTTTACAAAAATTTCATTAAAATAATTTTCTTTTACCTCAATATAATTTTTATAATCGTAATTGCTTTTATCTTGATTATATAAGACATCATCTTCTTTAAAAAAACTTAAATTTGTCAATGTTTTTTCTTTTATTAAGGGTGAATCTTTTGTGTATAAACTTTCATTTTTGTCTTTCTCTGTTTTTTTTATAATATTACATTTTTTTTCATTATCTAATAATATCGTGTAGTTATATTCTTTTGTGTCCTTATATATTTTTTCATTTTTATCATAATTCTTAATAGTGCATTTATATTTTCTTTTTTTTTTTAATTTATCTCTTTTCATATTTTCACAGAAATCACTTCTTTTATTACTGTTTTTATACCTTAATGTGATTCCCTCAAAGTTGTTTATATCACTTTTCTCTGACGTATTATCATATTCATTTTCATCTATTCCTTTGTTTTCTATTGTAAATTCATCTTCAATTATGCTATATCCTTTATGGTTTTGTTTTTCTTCCTCTTCTTCTTCATCTTTTTCTTCTTCATCTTTTTCTTCTTCATATTTTTCTTCTTCATTTATTTTTTTTTCATCCTTTTCTTCTTCTTTTTCTTCTTCTACTTCTCCGTATTCCCTTCCATCTTCATCCTCCCTTTCTTTTTCCCCTTTTTCTTTTTTCTCTTTTACTAATTCTTTACCATTATTTTCATCTTCAAATTCATTTATGTCTTTATGTATTTTTTTCAAATAATGGCCTTTTTTTTTCTTTTTTGAATCTTCATTGTTGTAAATTTTTAAAATTTTAGCGTAAATGAATTGAAAATTTGAAAATTTTATTTTATCATCAAACATTGAATTTTTACAAATATTAAAGTTATAGTTCTTCAAATAGGCAACAAATTCACCTTGATAAAATTCACAAAACATATTTACACTTATGTAATTCAAATTATTTACATTCTCTCCTGTTGCATATATATTATTAGTTGGGTTATTTTTATAAAAATAATCGCATAAATAGTATAAATTTTTAATATCCAAAATTTTTTGTAAAATAGAAAGAAATCTTTTTGATATCTTAAAAATTTTCCTGATACAGAGAGCTATTTCATATTTAATATTATCATTTCTCAAAAAAGAATTATGTAAAATATAAAGACAGAAAAAATTATTTTCTTTTACGAAATAAGAGTATTTATTGTACTTTTGTTTTATTCTTGTAATCTTATTAAATTTTACAATTTCTAAAGTTTCAGAACAAATTAATTTCATATTTTTTATTTTATTAACTATTACACCAATTTTATGATTTTTTTTTTTTTTGCACAATTTTGTAAATTCGTATATAGCTTTTAGAAATTCTTTTGAATTAAATAACAATCTTAAATTTTGTAATAATTCACATTTATTATCACATGTATCTTTTTTGTGTACATATAATATTTTGATACTTGTTTTCTTTTTTTTGTTTGTTACATTATGTGATTTTATTTCGTTATTTGTTAATTCTGTTTCATCTTTGCTATTTAATTGTTTCTTAAAAAAATTACCGGACTTCATATTTTCCTTCACAAAATCAATGTTTGTTTCTAATTTTACTTGGTAATTTTCTACATAATTTTTATCAAAATCTTTCGAATTTTCTATAATTTTTTCTTTTGAAGAAAAGCCAGTCTCATTTTTTATGTAATCTTTTTCTTTAAATGTACCATTTACTAATGTATCATTTTCTACCATTTTTATATATTTTTCTTTTAATTTAGAATCTTTAGCTTCACTTTTTTTTTTTTCATTCATTATTTTTTGTAAATCTCCCAGCATATTTAATCTTTCTAATTTTTTTTCTATTTTATTATTTTTTGTAATTATATTATTATAGGTATTTTCATCTGAGTTATATGTGTTTTTGTAAAAATTACATAAATCATAAGATATATGTTTACTTTCTTTTAGAATATTTTTTCTATCTTTGTAAACATTTTTATGAGCACTGTAAAAATTGGGGAAGACATTTAAATTAAAATTTTTTTTTTTAGAATAATAATCTGACGAATTATATTCTATTGTTTTCATATCTACCTCATTATCACTCCAATAACAATTAGTATCACTTACTAATTTTTTTGCATAACGGTGGGGGTATTTATAAATCTGAAGGTTTTCATTGTGTATATTTTTTTTTTTATTATCACATTTAGTATTCATATGTTTATATATCAAAATTTTTTCCTGATTTTCATCTCCATATTCTTTACATTGATATTTGTTGTATGGAAATCCTTTTTCGTGTTTATCATTTTCACTTTCATAATTTTCACTTTCATAATTTTCACTTTCATCATTTTCACTTTCATCATTTTCATTTTCATCATTGTCACTTTCATAATTTTCACCTTCATAATTTTCAATTACACCATTATCAATTACATCTTTTTCAATTACATCATTTTCATTTTCATCATTTGAACTTTTATTATCACTTTCATTATTTTCAGTTCCACTTGATGTTATTTCATTATATTTATTTTCAATCCTTTTTTTAAAATATCCTTCTATTTCTCTATTATTTTCATTGTAATAATTTACAAGAATTTTATAATTTCTTATTTTGTTTCTAAACCTTTTTTTATTCATTAAAATCTCTATAAAAGAATTTATTAAATGAAAAAGATATGTATCTTTTTTTTTAAGTAAAAATTGAAAATTTTCATCAATATATCTTAAAATACAGTCAATCTTTTTATTTAGATGTTCTTTATTAAAATTGGTATTATATATACTATAATCTAAATTTATTTCATTAAATATCATTTCTATATATCCTGTATCTAACTTATTATAATTTTTTGTTTTTAAAATATTTATTAAAATTGAGAGAAAATTATTTAATTCTACTGTTCCAGGGATTACATGAAAGTTTAAACTTTCTAAAAAGTTAGTTTCATATGGGAAATTGCATATATATAAAAATTTAAATAATTTTTTGTTATTTATAAACATTTTAAATAAACTATCATTTGTGTTATAAAGTTGATAAATTCTTAAATTTTCTTTGAATTTTAAGGGTATTTCCTTTAATTTATCGATAATGTCTATTAAAAACTCATTATAAGAATTTTCTGCATTTCTGTTGTTATTTATATTACTTTCTTTTAGTTTCTTATAAAAAATTATTTCCTCTAATTTTTTCTCATATTCTTCATATATAAAAAGTATAATTTTATGAAACATAGATTCGTTCGAGCAATTTTTTAAAACTTCTAAGAAAAAATGTTTAATGATATCATAACCATACCAATAATCTACATTAATATGCTTCCAACAATTCTGACTAACGTTTGAATCATATAAAAATACATAATTTATATTCAAATTTAATTTATAATTTTGCTTAATATTTATTATATTATTCTCATTTTCGTTAATTAAATTATAATTTATATTGTTATTTGCCTCATCAGAACCATCCTTAATTAATCTAATGTTATTTTCTGTATAAAATCCATTTGTTTCGTCATGTTTGTGATTATTAGAAATAATGAAAGAATTGAATTTGTATTCATTTTGATTTTTAAACATATTATCATCATTATTTATATTATTTTTATTGTTCATATTAGTATTCAAGCTATTTATATTAAAAATATTATTATTTGCGTTTATATTATCATATATATTATTATCACTATTTATATCAATAATGTTATTATTTATTTTACTACTATTATCATTTATATTATTATTATTATTATTATTATTATTATTATTATTATTATTATTATTATTATTATTATTATTATTATTATTATTTATATTTACATCATCTTTGTTTAAGTGAATTTCGTTGCAATAATTATTGTAGCCGTCATTTTTAGGTATAATATGACCTTTTTTATGATCATTTGATAATTTTAATTCCACTGATATTATATAAATAAATAAATCAAGAAAATTTGTATTAACTACAACATATTTATTTTCAGTATTTAATAGATTAATAAACTTAGAATCATTTAAAGAATAAAAAATTGGTAAAGATTTAAAATAGTAAATATTGTTATTATTAAACTGGATATATGATAAAAATTTAAATAACAAAAAAGTTTTCTCATTTCCATTTAAAATGTACCAATTTAAAGTTTTTCTATTTCTGTATAAAGAAAACATTGTATCTTCATAATTTTTTATAAAAAATTGTTTAAAGATAGTATTTTTTGATATAATATTATGAATTTTTTTGTAGCCTAATGAAAATAAAATTTTTTCGATTTTAGAATCATTAAAATCATAACTTATAATATCCTTTATATCACTAATATTATGAATATACATACATTTATTTGGATTGTTATCTAGTAATACATCTTGTGTTATTAATAAACGAAAACCCTTTAATATATTTAAAATGTTTACATTTTCGCTCCCATGCAATTCATTAATCATGTCTAAAATTAATTTATTATAAATGATAATTTTAATATCATATGGAACTTCTATGAAATCGTATATGGAATTATGTAAATTTTTTTTCTTATTTTTTTTATAATTTGCGTATCCTCTACATGGGATTTCATTAGAATTATATACTAAAACATTCCTATTCTTATTACTATTAAAACTATCGTTGGAAGTTATATAATCGTTATCAGAAAAAGAAAATTCATTTTTTTTAATATTATATATTTCAGATAAATCACAATAATGAAATATGTGAGGATATAGATTAAATTGCAATATATTAGGTAAATTTATTAATGATAATTTTAATATGACTTTTGCTTCTAATAATAGAGATAAAATATATGATGAATAAAAACGAATATTTATAAAAAACACTTTATTTAAATCAAATAAATAGAAATATTCAGAAGAATAAATTTTAATATTTTCATCATATTTAATAATATTAATATAATCAAAATTTAAGAATTCTTCAACATCAAAATTATTTCTTTTACTTTTATAAAAATTATCAGAACATATAGATAAACTTTTCATTTTTATTCTACTAAAGCTATTTTGAAAGGAAGATATAGAACTATCATTAAAATTATTATTTTTAATATTGTCATCATAATTGTTTGTAAAAATTGGAATATCTTTACTGCTATTTGATTTATTTTCTAGTTTTTCTAACTTATCTTCATCATTTTCAACATTTATATAATTTTCAATTTTCATTTTTAAGTATGATAAATCAAAATTTAGAATCACTAAAAGAGGAGTGGATTTCAAATATTTTACAAGTGAGTCATATGAACCTTCTTTTTTAAAATCTGAAAAAATATAATCATATAAATATAGAACTGAAGAAAAATTTTTTTCTCTTAAACAGTCCTTTATAAAACAAATATAAATGGAAATATGTTTTTTTATAACACTTCTTAAATAATAAGATGATATATTCAAAACACTTTCATTAATTGCGTTATTATTTGACATATTTTTTAAGTTATCAGAGTTATTTCTTGAATTTCCATTTGAACTAAGCTTTTCATAATTTTTACAAGTTATTATTTCATCTTTTTCCATATCAGAACAAATTTTTCCCTCCTTTATAATATTTGCATTATTAATCTTGGAATTTGAATTTATTATTTTATGCATATGAACAATGTTGTCAATTTCATAATAAGGTAGTAGAATTGTTAAACCTAAATCTAGCAAAAAAAAAGTTATTTGATTTAAATATTTACAGAATGGATATATATTAATAGAATTTTTCATATTACTCCAGAATAAAAAATACATTTGATCTTTTTTTTGAAGACAAGGTAAAATTTGAAGTTCTTCACAATCTAAAAAAATATTTTTAACAACAGGACTAAATATATCATCCTTATCATATTTTTTAGGGATAAAATTGAGATATTTTTTCTTAAAAATTTGATATATTTCATTAAAAGATTTCATTTCATTTTTATCAATCTTATACACATAGTCAAAAGTTATATTGTTATCACTTTTTAAATTATTAAATTGCGAATTTTTTGTGTTATCACTATAAGTAATAATAGTAGTAGTATTATGCTTTTTTATTTTTTTTTTAACCCATTTTCCCTTGTTTTTATATAATATTTTGTTTTCATCAAACTTTAATAATTTTTTTACTATATTTCTATGAGCTAATTTTAAAAAATGAATATATAAAATAGATATTTTATTTATTATGTATGATAACTTTTTGCTATTTTTAACGTTTTTTAAGTTGTAATCATTTTTTTCAAAAGAGTTGCAATTTATATGCATAGGTAAGCTATCAATCTTAAAAATTATATTGAAATTTTGAAATAAATAATATTTTCTGAAAATTTGATAATGTTCTAAACATATAGATATACTAACATCTTGTAATAAACCTATTATCCATTTACTTGCTTTATTTCCATTATATATTTGACATTGCAAAAAGAATTCTAAATTTTGTTCATCTAAATTTAATATTGAATCTTTACTTTCCTCTGTATCAGCATTACTTTCTTTTTTTTCTTTTTTTAACCCTTCTAGTTTTCTAATAGAATCATAAAATTTTGTTCTTAAATAAAAATGATTTTTAGGCATGGATATACCTAAATTAATTATAATTTCTGCTTTTCCATCCCTTTGGTTTATTTTTATAAAATCTATTTTAATTAGATTTTTTGAAAAAAAAAAAAAATTTTCATTAAATTTTTTACATTCTAAAAATGCTTTTTCAATAAGTTTTAATAATGATAACGTATTTTCGTTATAAATACGTATACATATAGTTTTTTCATCATCATTCTTTAAACTATTTTCATTTATTTCATTTTCTTTTAGTTGTGTTCTGTTATTTATATTTTTATTTTTTGGTTTTTTATTAGAATTACTACTTTCATCCTGTTCCTCTAATTTTCTTTCAAAATAATAATAAAAAAAAACATTTTTTAAAAATTCCTTATCATATTTACTGGAAGACCATTTATTTTTATATATGTGTTTTTTATTACTTTTTGCATTTTTATTGACGTAATTATATTTTAAATTATTATTTTCATTAAAGGAAATATCTTTATTACATTCAATATTTTCGGTAATTCCATTATTCATATTTTCATTATTTCTACACAATTTATCTGTTTTTATCAAATTATCATTGCTGCAAACATTATCTTTACTTTCTTCATCTAGTAGATAATACCATTCGCACACATCATTTTCATTAAAAATTAACAAATTTTCTAAAATATACGAAAAATTTGCAAACAGATATAGGCATATTAAATCCTCACAAGTATTCATTGTATGTGAGTAATTTTTTTCTGAATTTGTGCATTCTCCTTTATATATGATATTTTGGGAAGAAATATATTCATATAATTTATTTTTATGAACTAAAATATTATAATAACTTTCTTTTTTAAGCTTTATATACAAACTTAAACATGCACATTTTGAAAAATGTTTTGGAAAATTATATTGATTAAAAGTTCTTTTGTCTATAATAAATTTGATATCATAACAGCCTAAATCATCTAAAAAGGAAATAAAATTTTTAATTTCTTTAAATAAAATACTTTCATTTACTAGATTTCTTTTTTTTAATATTTTATTTGTGTTTATATTCACAGAATTTTTTTTTTCATAATTTACACTTTTATTTACACAATTTTTTGGAGGTAACATTGCTTTTTCCTTATTAATTGTCAACATACTTTTTTTTTTTTTTATCATTAACTCATAATTTTTTTCTAATTTAACAAATGATTTATTTAATCTTTTATTAACATGATTGCTGATGTCCATTTTAGTTGTTTTTTCTTTTTTTAACTTAAGAGAAACACTTTTTATTTTAATTTTGTTTTGATTTAATAACATTTTTTTTTTGTTAACTGATCTATTAATAATATCATTTTCTTCTTGTTTTTTTGGTACATTTAATAAATCAATTATACTTTCTTTGATGTCCTTATGTACAACGTTTTTCTGTAATTCAAGATTATATTTCACACAATTTTTAATAAAAACAGATTCTTCCTTTTTTATCAGAACGTATTTATTATTTGGTAAATATATATTTTGAAAACAGAAGCATCTTAATTTATTCGAAATCTCAATGCTTGTTTTTTTTTCATCTTGCCTATTTTTTTCATTTTTTAAAGAGGTTTCATTTTCATTGAAACTTATACACTCGAATGATTCATTCAAATCAGTACTCATATCACAAATAGAGTTATCAATCATATTTAAGATGTTTATGTAGGAAATTTTTAGTAGGCCACTTAACTGTATTTTTTCTTCTATAATTTCCCTTTTTTTATTTTTTTCATTCATTTTATTTTTTATAATTGATTTATTTTTTATTTCATTTAGTATTCTTACTAAATTAGAATGTTTTAATTTTAGCTGTACAAAACTCAACTCCCATAAGTTCGGGTATTTAATTTTATATAACTTCGGTAGTTCACAAAAAAAAATGTTAAAGGGAATATTTTTTATTAAAAATACATTCTTCGATTTCCATAGTTTATTTTTAATATAAATAAAATTTTTTTTTTGAATAAAGTTTAAAAAATTTTGATATTCTTTAATTTTAATTTCACCCAACATTTCATTATCAGTAGTGTTATTTACAATGGTGCTTAATTTTTCCTTTACTCCATTTTCAATTATATAATTTTCAAAAAATTCATATATGTCTTCATATACTTTTGATATATTTTGTAAACATATACTTTTAAAATTTTTAATTAGAAGTTCAAGATGATCTAACACATGAGTTATTGGAGGCTTCTTATATAAATCCAAAAGTTTAATTAAATTTGAAGAAATATTAATGTTTTCTAAATTATAAGTTTTTTTTTTTAAAAATATTATATTAAAATATCTTTTATCATAACCTTCACCAATTCTAATAAAATCTATTGTATACTTATCATTCTTTTTTTCTTTCTTATTTCCCATTAATATGTCATCACTATTATTCACAGTTATATTTACAGTGTCTATATGATTTTTTGAATTATTGCTACTTATATTATTTAGTAGATTTATATGATTACTACTATCATTGTTGCTGTTAAATCTTTTTTCATTGCTTTCATGTTTTACAACACTTTTATTTGTAATACACTTGTTAATATTGCTACTTAATCTTTTATGATTTACTAATGAATTATTCATCAAATATTCATAGTTAAAAGTTTTACTTTTATATATAGGCAAAAAAAAGGCATTTTTAATTGTTTGTAATATTTTAGGATCCTCAAAATATTTAAAATTTTTTTCTATTTGATGAATTATTTTATCTAAAATTTTTAATTTATTTTCATAGACATTTGAACTATAAAATAATTTATTTAAATCAAATAAAATATCATTTATGTCATCACTTAATTTATATAATTCATCAATTATAGTTAGTCCTAATGATTTTAATTTTTCTATTTCCTCTTTTCCTACTTTTTTAATAAAACTCATTGATATTAGATTTTCAGTATCAATAAAATTATTTAACCTTCTGTTAGAATTCATATTTTCTTCTTGATATTCTTTATTGTTTTCATTATTCTCACTATAATTATATGGGTTTCCTCTACTTTTATTTAAAAAGGAAATTAATTCGCTTTTTTTTATTTCCTTGCAATTTTTGTAATATTCTTTGTCCACTAAAAATATTAATTCGCTAATTTTTTTTAGCTTTTTTTCTTCATTTGGAAAGCAAGAATAATTTTTTAAGAATCTGTTTATAGAATTTTCATTTAATTTTAGTAAATGAACTAAAATATTTATGCAGTTTTCAAACTGCATATATTTCAAATTATCTATAACTATTTCACAAAAAAATTTATTATTTTTGCTTTCAAACTGTTTGTTTAATAGCTCTGCATTATTGTAATAAATGTCTATGTTTTTAATATTTTCAGGAATATCATCAATATATTTTAAATTATATCGTAAAATCTTTTTAATCAAATCATAATTTCCTTCTTCATTCAATTCATTTAAATAATAATACAAGGAATTTTTCACCTTTTTATCTAAAAAAAGTAAATTTTTTGTATCTGAATATCTTATAATATCTGACATGCAATTATCAAACACTATAAGATTATTTGAAATGAATATGCATTCATTAAAACTTAACCAATTATACCCATTGAAAAACAATTTTAACTTTTTCTCATCATCAAATAATTGTTTGAATAAAAAGCATATAAAATTATTTAGAGTATTATTTTTTTCTATATCTAACAATGGTAAATAGTAGGAATAATTATAATTGCTACATGAATAATTTAATTCGCGTAATAATAATAAAAATTCAATATATATATCACATAAAGAATAAGAAGAATAATCCAAAAATATATCATTTATTAATGAAGTTTTATCATCTTTTGTTCTTACGAATACTGGAATATTTTCTAAAAAATTTATGGAAATTATATCATCAAAGTATAAGCTTTTTTCCTTTCTATTATCTTTTTCTATTTCATATAATTCTGGTGAGTAAAAAAATATAATTTCTTTATCAATATCAGATGAAATATTATTTTTAATTATTTTTTCATATATTACGTAATCAGTAATGACTTCGTTAGATTTATGCTCCACACAGAAATATTTTATTTCCTTTTTTAATTTTATTTCATTTTCTAAACTGGAAATATTTATGATTTTTTTTTCTTTTTTCCATCTAAAAAAAGAGGAATCATTTATCTCTATATCAATATGCTCTATATTTCTTGAAAACAACATAAGTTCAGTTGTAGCTTTTCTTATTTTTTCTAAAATTTCATTTTTGTTTAAATCTATTTCCATTGACAATTTTATGAGTGTTCCTGAAAAGGAGTTGACACATTTTGTATTTAAACATGATAAAACTTTATTTATTTTAGAACATTTAAAATTAAAAAATATTTCATTTTCTTGTTGAATATCACATTCTAATTCATAGTCTGTTGATCTACATAACACTAATTTTTCTTTTAAATGTTCTATATCATTAATATTAAAGGGTATTTCATATATATCTAATCCCAATGTGTTATATATCAAATTAGCATCAAATTTATCATCATAAAAAATGTATATTTCATAATACTTTATTTCTTTATTCGTTTTATCTTTAAATTCGACTTCCTCAAAAGATTTATTGTAATGCAATTTTTTATTGATTAATGTTTTATTTTCCTTATATAATGTTTGGATATTTGTTTCATTAATATGTGTAATTTTTTCATTTATTTTGTTATCCTCTATTGGATAAAATTCATCAAAAAAAAATATTCTCAAACTATTTATATTTTCCTTATTTGAGCAATCTAAATACTTTAATATATTTAGATATTCGTTAATTTCTTTATTTTTAGCATATAAGTTAGCTAAATTTTTACACCTATATAATTTAAGACTACTCATATTTAAAAAAATATCATTGAATGAATATCATTTAATCAAATTTCATCTATGAATGAAGTGAAACAAAGTTTAATAGAATATTAAAAAGGAAGGAAAAAATAAAAACATTAAAAAAAATAAGAATAAATATTGATTAGAAATAAAAAAAATTAATTATAAAGTTATTTAAAAAATGAAAATATAAAAAATAATAGAAAATATCTTAAAGAAACATAATAAACCAAGTCTAAACAAAATTTTAGGATTTTTTTAAAATTAAAGAAAAGGAAATTTTATTAATTTGTTAAAAACATCTCCAAACACAATTTAATATTACTAAATAAGAATATATGATGAATACAAAAAAAAAAAAAAAAATAAAATAAAATAAAATTCATAACAAAAAAAAAACTATATTTTTTTATAGGAATTACAAATTTATTACATGTTAATTTCATGTATATCTTATATAGTTAAATGTTATAATAGAATTAATATACCACATGTAAAAAAAAAAAAAAAAAAAAAAAAAAAAAATATTATGCAGCAAAATTTGTATTTTTTTTAAAAGATTTTTAACACATAGATTTGATAATATTATTTTAAAAAAGGTAGACATTACAGAAATAAATGAAAAAAAGTTTTAAGAAATGTTATAAATCTTGCATATTTGACTGGAATTTTTTTTTCTTTTTTTTCATAATAAATAGTATTATTTCTATTGTTAATATATACTTTTTTTACTAAAAATTTAAAGTTTCTATTATTGAAATATGTAAATTAAGAATAAGCACCATTCATTAACTATGAGAAAAAAAATCTTACAATTTTTCCTTTTACATTATATTTCTATGGTTTATTCTGAAATACTATATTTATATGTACATATGTGTGACTGAATTTTTCAAAAATTGTATGTACATGGCAAATATAATTTTTTTTTTTTTTTTTTAAAAACTTTTAATAATGTTATTGTCAATATGAGAGTATAAACATTTTTATTGTGTTAAAAAAAATTTTATCATAAGGATTATTATTTAAAAAGGTAGAATTTTGCTGGAAACTTAAGTTATTCACATTATTTATATATTTACATGTGAGTTATAATGTTTATTACACAAAATATATTATAAATATATTTATAGAGAGAATTTAATATTTTAATTAATCAAAAAAGATGAATAAATTTAATAAAACTAAAAATTTATTAATTTTTTAAAAATATTTTAATCTATATTTTATATGATTAGTAAAAAAGTTTTACTTGTACTAAAAAAAAAAAAAAAAAGTAACAATACTTTTGTATTTTGTGAAAAATAATTTGAAAATTTTTTTTTTTTTTTTACAATTGTAAAAACATGTTTTAAAAAATAGAACATTAAATATGCCAACATAAACATATTAATGTTATGTTACATTGAAAAAAAAAATTTAAAAATAAATAATATTTATACTCATACTTGAAAAAAAATAAATTAGTAAATAATTATATATACTAACCATTTAGATATTCAAGTAAATGAGTAATAAAATGCAATGAAATTATGCTTGAGGGGATTTAGGCAAAAAAAAAAAAAAAAAAAAAATTTTTTTTTTTTTTAGACAAAAAAATATATAACAATTATTATATGTATGCATATAAAAATAGATTAACTATAACAAAAAATATTAAAATATAAAATAAAAAAAAATTATGTGAAATAATTTTTTTCTTCTTTTATATTTATATATTTTTCAATATGCATCTACATTGAATAGGAAAAATAATAATGATAATTATATTAATATAATATTTTTAGGAAGTTTGGTATAATGTTTTAAAAATAGTATAAACTTTAAAAAATATTTGTGAATGTAAATTTTTTTTTTTTTTTATTCTTCACTGTAAATTTAATACTGAACGACAAGGATATTTTAATAGTTCGTAGTCATATGACTGTACAGAATAACATGATTGCATAAAAATAACTAACTTTTCCAATGCGCAGTCAACACTAACTTCATTACCTCTAATTTCCATTAATCTTTCAGTAAAACCTTCATGAACTTGAACATATAGATTTCCTAATCTTACATCAGCTCCGCATTCTTCTTTGATGATAGCCATCCTTTTACATCCATCAGCTAATAACTTTTGCACACATTCAAATGGAGCAACTAAGTAAATACAACATTTTGAAGAAGACATTTTTGATTTTACATAATGATATAATAGCTGACATGCTCTTAAAATTCCAAATATATTTCCTTTTAATAAAAAAACATGACTATCAGCAAATCCTGGAAACCATACATCTTTTGCACTTTTGTAAACAGAAATGTGTAAAGAAGATTTTATAGTTTTTACATGTATTCCCTTTGGACCCATAAAAGAGCCACTAATATCTCTTTGTGCTGCTATCTTTAATTTTCCAATTGAATTGTTAGTATATGCTAAATGAAACTTTTGAATAGATATTTTTGTATCATAATTATACTTCTCTTTATCATTTAAAAAATTCTGTATATATTTGTTTGAGTGAACTGCACTTTCACATTCAGAATTATTTGTATCATCCTTAAAAGTTGAATAACTGTTAATATCATCATTCTTATTACTTAGACTATTTAATATTAAACACTGTTTTTTTTTTAAATACATATTTTTTACTTCAGTTAATTCCTTTTCCAATTGCCTATTTTTAAATTTTAAACTATTTATTATGTTTTGTAGCTCATTTATCTTGTCATTATTTGCATTTCCTTTTGATTCCTTTTCTACATCCTCATTTTCATCTAATATAAAGTCCATATTATTTTCAATTATATTAATATTATTACATGCGTTATCATTTCCCCCTATATTACCACATATGTTTGCATTATTTTCTATATTATTCCTATTATCACATATATTTTCATTACTTTGTAAATTATTAATATTATTATATATATTATTATCTAAATTATTATATATATACTCATTTTCTAAAAGATATAAATTGTTATTATTTTCTTCTATATTGTTAATCTCATTATAGATACAGTTATTATCTGCAGTATGCATATTTTCATGAAGATTCCCCATTTTTTCCATATTATCATATATATTTTGTTCATTATCTATATCACAAATGTCATTTTCATCATTAATGTTATATATATTATCCTCATTATTTATATGGTATATATTATTTTCATTATTTATATTATATATGCTATATTTACTGTTAATATTAAACATTATTTCATCATTTTTCCCATCATTCAAATTGTTATGAATGTTACATTTTTCTGTATTCATAGAATAATTATTTTTAAAATTTTTTTTACTTAAACAAAAAACAGGATCTATAATTTCCTTTTCTTTTTCATTGGTTATTAAATTTATATTTTCATTAAGGTCTAATATATTATTTGTTACAGGTAAACAGTAAGTTTCCTTTTTTTCATTATTTAAATAATAAGAATGATTATTAATGTTACTTTTTAAAAATGTAGAAGACTTCACATTAATTGTGTCATTATTATTTCCACTGATACCATTAGAGCATATATTTAAATTATTTTCATCCTTTAAGTTATCGCAATATTTACTAATAGAATTATTATCTTTATTTATTAATTTTGAATAATTAACAGAATTGTCACTTTTCTTATCCTTAATATTAAATGTATCATTTTCAAATAAATTTTTTTTACAATCATTAAAATTATTGTTAAATAAATTACTAGACGAAAATTTTAAGAAGTAATTTGTTGATTTTTCATTGCTTATTAGATCATTCTTATAAGAAAAATTATCAAATTTAATATTTTTATAATTAATTGGATCTGTATTAAAATCATTTATATATAAATTATTCTTTAGTTCTGTATTCTTTTTCCTGATATTACTATTATTATTAGTAATACTACTAGTATTATTGTTATTATTATTAACATTATTAATAGTATTAATATTCATGTTATTATTATTAATATTATTAGTAGTATTAGTATTTGTATTATCATTATTATTAATGTTAATATCATTATTATTATTATTATTAGTGGTCATATTAACTTTATTAATATCGTCTTCATTAATATTATCACTATTATTACTTTCGTTTTTATTATTATTATTGTTGTTGTTATCGTTGTCATTATTATTATTATTATTATTATCATAATCATTATTGTTATTATTATTATTATCATAATCATTATTGTTATTATTATTAATGTTATTATTATTATTATCATAATCATCATCTTTATTATTATTATTATGGTGATTACTATTATTATTATTAGTAGTAGTAGTAGTAGTAGTAGTATTAGTACTAGTATTAGCATTAGTATTATTATCATAATCATCATTATTATTATTATTAATGTTATTATTATTATTATCATCATAATCATTATTATTATTAATATTATTATTACCATTATTATCCATATTGATGTGATCGTCATTATCATTAATGTTATTATTCATATTAGTGTTAGAATTATTTTTAGTATCATCATCATTATTATTATTATTATTTATATCACAATAATTTAAGTTATATTTACTTTTCATTCTTTTATCGTCAAAGTTTTCCTTATATTCGTTTGCAAAATCATTTTTATTGTTATCATAAGATACCCCTTTATTATTTAGAAAAAGAGAATAATTATTACAATCTTCATTATTTGCGTTACTATTAGGAATAATTTCATTATTTATTTTATTTTTCTTATTAAGTGATATATTATTATTAGTCCATTTTATATCATAACTATTCTTTTTCTTGTCTTTTAAATCTGAACTTTCAAATTCATCATGAAAGATTAAATTATTTTCATCTATATAATTTTTAGTATGTTCATTTTTATATTTCATATATGAAAAATCATTTTCTTTCATAAAAATAGAATTATTATCATTATCATTTGAATCAATAATAATTGCATCATTATTTAAATTATTGTAATCATTAATGTTGATAACATTACTTGAATTATTTTTCATTGAATTTTCGTTATCTAGGATATCTACATTATTATTATTATCTTCATATTTATTATAATCATTATGATTATCATTAGTATATTTATTCAAATTATTATCACATAAAATATTATCATTACTGCTAGAACCTATATAATCATTATTTATATTATTAACATTTCCATAAAAATCATTAATATTAAAATTTATATTTCTATTATGGCTATTCTTATGTATAATAATGTTATTTAAATTTTTTTTCATAAAATTATCATAATGTTCATTATTATCAGCAACACATATGAAACTATTTTTTTCATTTATATTATTTTGCACATCATCCATTAAAATACAAGGATTGTCTTCTCTTTCATTCTCAGAGTTTTTAGTTTCATTTAAAGTTATTTTTTCAAAAAATGAATTTATATTATTATTTTCCTTTTTCAAAAAATTATCATTATTTTGCTTACATTTCCATCCATTAAATGTATCGTCAAAATTTAAAAATGACAAGCTTTTATTTATATTTAAATTATTAGATAAATCTAAATGTTTGTGCAATTGCGAATTTTCTTCAAATTCAAAATTTTTCTCAATATCATTTACATTCAGAATATTGTCATTACTGTTCATATTTATTTTTTTATTCAGATTATCTTCATCAATATCCTTTTGCATTGTGTTAATATTTTCATTTTCATAATAATTATAATTTTGATAAATTTCATCATTCTCTTCTTCTATATTTTTATGTGGATTAATAATATTATTCGTATATATAGTACTATCAGTTGTCATACATTCTGTTTTCATTTCTTTTACATTGCCTTCACCTGAGGCATTACAATTCTTAAAATTTTTATTCATTAATAAAATATAATCATTAATATCACAATTGAAAGAGTTTTCATTATTCTTAAATAATAAATAATCATTTGAAAAATCTTTTAATTCTTCCCTATTTTCAATTTTAGTTTCATCATCATTTTTTCTTATGTTTTTCATTTCATACAAGTTAAATGAATTATCATTATAATCATTTTCTATATAACTAAAATACTTGTCGTTCAAAAAATTATTATTCATATACTTTTTTTCACAAGTTAAATTATTGTGTAATTTTTCATTATTCTCATGTGAAGATATGAACATATTACTGTTATTATTATAGATGTCACTTCTATAAATATTATTATTAATATTACAGTTTCTTATCTTATTAAAATAATTTTCCTTCTTTTCAGATTTATTGCAATCTTCTTTTATTGTAAAAAAAGTTTTAGCTATATCATCATTAGAATTATTTTTTAAATATTTAGAAGATTCAAAGCATTCATCATAGTTAGTATTCATTTGTAATATATTTTCTTCGTTAAAATTATTAACTTTGTTCATATAGGTGTTCAAAATTATATTTGTACCACTTTTGTTTTCTAAAATAGAATCACTATTTTCTTTATCTTTATATGGTATATTATTTGTTCCATCTTTTTTATTTTCTTTAATATAATTAAAATACTCAATATCATTTCTATTTTTTATATTATTTTCTAAATTTATATAATTTTTAATACAGCAATTTTTTTTAATATTAGAAGAATTTTTTTCTGAGTTTGAATTAACATCAATACCTATGTAATTATTTATATTATTTGTCTTTTTTTTTACATAACTTTTAAAAGAATTATTATTTGAATTATTCAAAATGTTTACATTATTATATATATCATTATTATTATTTGTACCTCCACATTTATTAAGATTCTTATTTGAAACGTTCATATTATTTGATTTATTTAAGTTATCATAAATATTGATTCTATTTTTATACATATTATCTATTATACAACTCATTTGATTACCGTTGCTATTTTTAGTACTATTACAGTTGCATTTATTTATATCATTGTTAGATAAATTACTATAATTATTATAAGTATCACTTGTGATGTTTATATTTGAATATACATGATTATTTAAATTTTTATTGTCTTCTGAGTTAATTTTACTATTTATGTTATAATTAACATTATTAAACAACGTATCTTGTATTTCATCTTTTGAATTAATATTAATTTCCTCATCAGAATTATTTATATCTACTTTTTCATCAAAATTGTTTGATTCCGAATTGAAAAAGTTATTTTTATTCTTCTTAAAATCATTAAGCAAACCATTGCTATTATTATTATTTTTATTTAATGAATTTTTACTATTACTTATAGTAAAATTCATATTATAATTACTTTCGGTATTAATCTCATTTAACTTTTTATTTTGTCCATTCTTATCATTTTTTAAATCCCTTTTTTCATTATTTAACGATTTAAAATTAATGTTTAATGAATTTTGATAATGGGAATTATACGTACTTATATTTTCATTCATATTTAATTGCTTCTCTGATTTATTTTCTATATCATTCATATTTTTCAAAACAAAATCACTTACATCATTTTCATCCAGATTATTCATATTACATTTTTCATTTTTATATCGTTTATCCATTTTTAAATTCTTATAAATATATGTTTTTATAAAATACAATTTTCTATATAATTAGTATTATGCTCATAATAGAAAAAAATATGCAATAATCCCTTTTTTGCTTTAATTTTTCTATTTTTCATAATAATATATGCATATAAATATGTTTATGTATATTTTCTTTTAAAGGATTATTTTACTATTTACATTAAATATATAATTACATTATTATAATTAAAATATATTAAATAATAATAAAATAAAATCATAAAAAAATATTAAAGAAATAAATAACTTAATATGCTGCTACTATAGCTAATTCATTAAATATTAAAAGTTAAAATAATTATATATATATATATATATATATATATATGCTTATATATGTATAAATTATCTATATTAATGATATTAAAAAAAATTATTATTATACGTATTAAAAGAAAGAAAAACAACATATATAATTTGCCTTAATCCTACTTAAATTATATATATATATATTTAAAATTTTTATAAAAAGAATATAAAAAAACAAAGTATAAAAATGTATATTTTTATTATATTTTATATGTATATATAGCAAATTAAAAATGCCAAAAAGAAGAAAAATTATTAAACCTATGAAAAAAAGTAGATAAAAAAATATATAGTAAACCTCTTAAGAAAAGACATACGTAATATCTGTTTTATTATGCATTAAGATAAGAATAAATTAACTATTATCATTTTAATAATTTAGGTGATTATAACAATATATATATTTTGATATTTAAAGAAAGACATAAAACAAAATAGAATAAAGAAATAAGACAAAAGATGATACGGGAAATATATATATATACTTATATATAAACATATAGATATAATGTATATATAAATATTTAATAAATTAATTGTGCTCAATTCTCCAAAATTCCAATAATACAATTAGAATAAACAAAATAAAGATTATTCATAGAATGTTCATAAAACTTAAAATAGTAGAAAAAAAAAAAACTTAAAAATAAATAAAATTTTATTAAGTACTACTTGTAATAAATTAAAAATAAAAAATATATATTTAAATAAAAAAAATTCAGTAGAAATTTAGTTTATTATTATGAACTTTTTTTATATTTTTTTATACATATAAAATTATTTTGGTCTAGTTAAGTATTTGCTTAAAATAATAAAAAAAAAAAAACTTTTAGAATTTAGACAGAATTCACTAATTTTTTTATTATTTTTTTTTTTTTTTTTCAATTAATTAAAAATTGCAAGAATCTACTTTTAATTGCCATAATTTGTATAATGTTAAATCATTTATACAATAAAAAAATTAATAAAGAAAATTTTTATTCCCATTATTTAAAACTTTTTAACATAAAAAAATTCACAAAATCTTAAATATCTATATATGAAAAATTTGGAACAAAGCATATTAAATTTATCAAAAAAATAAATAGATTAAAGATATTTAAAATAAAATTAATAAAAAATAAAAATAAATTTTTAAGAAAAATAATAATTTTGAATATATATATTTTTTTTTATTTAATAAAATCATTATTAAAAAAAAAAAAAAGAAAAACAAAATGGAAAATTATAATATGTAATATGTTATTTAAAGTATTACAATTCATGTATTTATTAAAATTTTTTATATTTATATATAATTTTTTAATATTTTGTAAAACAAAAAAAAAAGAAAAAAAAAAAGAAAAAAAAAAAAGAAAAATTAGCATACACCTGTTCTTAATAATTTTATGTAACTTGTTTATTTATTTTTTTTGAGTTTATTGTGTTAATATATTTATTTTTTTAAATTCACTTATATACATGCATATTTTTTATTATAAATAACAATTTACTTTAAAAAAAAAATATACACTATATTTTTAATTTAAAATCTTTTTTTTTTAGCATTCTGCTATAAAATATTTATGAATATAAAGAATAAAATGAAAAAAAAGAAAAAAAAAATTATCGAAAGCATGAATTAAAATATTTTTTACAACAATTGTTATTATGTTAGAATAAGACTAGAATGAATATTTGTTAAACAAAAAAAAAAAAAAAAGAAGAAAAAAAATTACATAAAAATAACATTATATATATTTTAATTCAATTTATAAAATATAATACAATTATATTCACACATAAAAGGACCTAAAAACAAAAAGACAAGAAAAAAAAAATAATATTAAAAATAAAGTATCTGTTTTATTCAACTATTCATTTTAGTATTACTATTAATTATATTTATAAATAAATATTTATACATATATATATTTGTAATACATACATTTTTTTTTCTTTTTTTAAAATATATATATATATATATATATATATATTAAACATAAGTATTCTTATATAAAATATAATTTTGTATAATCAAATTAAAACTTTGAACAATTATCCATCAAAATTTAAAAATACGTGCAATTTTTTATATGTAAAATATAATATAATTGAATACGTATATATGAGAATAAAAACAAAAATGTCATAAATTTAAAAAGAAAATCCTACTTATGCAAAGAGAATGTTAAATTTTTTCTTCAATATACTTTTTGCTTAATTAAAAATATATATATATATCTATTTTAAACAATTTAATATTATTATTTAAAAAAAAAATTAATAGTTATATAAAGTGTAATTCACAATATATAAAATAAAGTCTTAAAATAAAATAAATAAATAATTAAAAGCATGTATTTTTAATGGATTTTCTTTTAACTACTTCTAGGTATTAAATCGTTGGAAAAAAAATTATGAAAAAATAAATAAGTAAAAATATTAACAAAAAAAAAAAAAAAAAAAAAAAAAAAAAATAAAAAAAAAAAAA